AAAGAACACGTTTGAATTACTCCTGTTTTTTAAAAGAACTTTTATCTCCACCACATGTCTAAAAAAGATGACAGAAAAGAGGAATAATCAATGCCATTAGATAAATTCGGTCCTCTTAAATGGTTTGAGACAGGAAAAAAACTAGTTTTTCTGAAGAAACTAACCAACATTCTCTGTAACATCAGGACACCATAAGATGATGAAAACAGCCATCGCCAGGGAAGAAAAAAAGACTGGGTACGTGTGAGCTCTCTAGACAGATCCGACATCCATATCCTGAGTAAAACCAGACTTCCTTCTCAAGCTCAAAGAGAGGGCACTGGGTACACTGTCTCCTGCAGAAGTGCTTCCCTCTCATACAGCACAGATAACAGGTCCCATCCGATGAAGCAGTGGTCATTGTACCAGCATTCTCTAAACAACCAAAAGACATTAGCAGCTAAAGAATGTCCCTTATGTACCTCTGCCTCGTGTCCCCATGGTCAGTGCCTACAACACCCATCACAATTAACAAGGATAAAAATGAGCATTTTAAACTGATAAGAACAGATACTACACTTGATCTTAGCCAAAGGCAGAGAAGTGATGAAAAAAAAAATGGGCCTTTTACACAAGTCTAGACAGCTTCATTTAACAGCACTGAGAGTGGAAAACAAACTTTTATGGAGAACTTCAATGCATATGTGAATAATGATACTGACAGGTGATGAAAAAACAACTCTAGAAAGCTGAATGGTTTTGAATTTTCTCCTTTGTCGATCCTTCCAGCCATAACTTATAAGCATTAACACCTTTTTACAAATAGAACCACAGACCGACCCCTGGAATGCACCTACAATCCAACAGTGGCAATTCTTGGATGAACACATTGACAGCAACATTTGAATAACATCCAAATGATGCAATTATGATCATGGCCTCAAGTTTTAATATGGAGTTTCTAAGGAACCCAGTATTATAAAGGGGTGTAAAAGTTCAAGGAATCTGAAAAACGGCTGTGAAAATTTGTATACAAGAAGAGGCATCATTTGATCTTTTCATCAGCTCATGGAGTACCCATGATGTGGCCCATAAAACTGGAAAAAGTAACACCATAATCATAAACTTCAGTGAAAAGCATGAATGAAATTACCAACTACAACAATGACTACTGCCAGAATACCCTGGCCAAAGACTTTCCAAACCAATACCTGACCAAGTGGCCAGCCATGTACTACCGATACCCACTTGCTTTTAGTCCCTAATGGGGTACAGAGGATGAGCTTAGCTATGAAACCATAAAGCTTTGTCAGAGACCATCTATTTACCAAGCATCAGACACCTTCAAAGACCTTGGAGATCCATGATCTTACTAAAGCAATCCTCAAAAAATGGCAGGATGGAAAGACCCCCACATCCTCCTTCTCTCCCACCGTCGCAAGCCTGGACCGTACCTGATTCTCTCTCGCCTTGCCTTCCACATTCAACCAGGTGCCAAGGGTTTTCATTTCCAGTCACTCCTGAGTTCACTTCCTTCCTCTCCATTCCATCACTACTACACCTGTTAGACAGCCAGCCTGCAATTACCACTGATCCTAATCCATTTTAGATACTACAGCCAGATTAACCTTCCAAAGGACAAATTGTGGCATTCTCGTACTTGAACCTTTTTTTATTATTATGCTTTAAAACAGAAAATTTCAAAAATATAAACAGAGAATTCTGTAAGAAAGCCCCTTGTACCCCTTACACAGGTTGAATAATTACCAGTCCATAACCACCCTTGTTACCTCTGTACCCCACCCCACCGGGTTACTTTGAATCAAATCTCAGACATCATAAAATTTCATCTGTAAATACTTTAGTATGATTTTCCTCCTTACAAACATAACTACAAGGCCACCATCACAGCCCTCAAAAATCAACAACCATCCTTTTATATCATCAATTTTCTATCAATGTTAGCATGTTCATGCTTGTCCTATAATTCATCATTGTTATTTTTATTTTTTCGTTTTTTTTAAAATCAGGATAGAAAGATAATCCAAATACTGTGATTAGTTAATGTGTTTCTTAAGCCTTTTTTAAACTATAAGTCCTTTCTCCATTGCTTTTTTTTTTTTTTCTATTTTGTTTCGTGGGTTTTTTTTTTTTTTAGGATTTTTTGGTTGAAACCATTAGCCTGGTTTTCAACTTTATATTTTAAAGCCTCATATTACCTTATATTTGCACTAGTCTTCATCTTTATCAAGTTCCAATCAAATCATGTCCTAAATGTGGTCATTTTTAAATGTCCACAAAGTCCTTGATATATTTCTCCCTTCAAACAGCATAGCTTACCTCCACTGAGTGAGGACTAGACTTAGTGACTCGCTTCTAATGAGGAGAATAAGGTGAGAGCAAAGGTGTGTCACCTTCGAGACCACAGACTAAAAAGGCACTGTGGCTTTCTCCTTGCTCTCCCTAGTCTGGGATCACTCACTCTGGGAGAAGCCAGTGACTTCTGATCCACTTCCAGAAGCCAGTGGACCCTCCTATACATCTTAATCCTCCCTCCCCTAACCAGATCATGGGGCAATCTATAATCGTTTCTTAAGTAAAGATCAGAAGTGATAGCATCCTAGACCATCTCTTCTCCTTACCCCAAAGCACGCGGTCGGCACGCCCATATACACATGCCTGTAACAAATGCGAACATAAAAAGCATCTTCATTCAGCAGATGAAGTCTCCGAAGCAAATTACCCAACAACTTTATTTTACCAAAGCCAAGTCAGAGCTGAAACCTTAGCCTCCTCTTTGACTCACAACATTCTTGTCTAATTATACTGCTGCTACCAAAAGAAGAAAGGGAAAAAAAACTGTTCCTTTATCTGACATCCGACATATGGTTCTTACTAACAATCCATATATACACATCCTAGAGGGTCAAATTCTAACAGTGGATGGTGATATTCAAGATGAATAATGTTGCTTGTAAATTACTTCACAGTTTATGTAAGTAATAATGCTAGAAAAAAATAATTGCACTGCACAGTAATCTGACTCTTGATCACCAAAGCACAGTTCAATGCAGAATTCTTCTTTGTTTTTAAGATCCAGAACAACGCTGGAAGGGAGATGTCTAGCTATGATATAATCAAAGCTTTGTATCACTCCAAGGACACATAGTTACATTCATGTTCTGGCACCAAAAAAAAAAAAAAAAAAAGCACTACTATCCTTTAGAGAAGGGTTTTAGCAAACTAACCAAATCTGGCCCACAGCCTGTTTTTGTACAGCCCACAAGTTAAGGATGATTTTTCTCTTTTTTAATGCTTGACAAAAAAAAAAAAAATCAAAAAAAGACTATTTCATGACCTGTGAATTTATATGAAATTCAGATTTCAATGCCCATAAATAAAGTTTTATTGGAACACAGTCATGCTCATTCATTTAGGTATTGTCTATGGCTGCTTTTGTGCTACAAAGGCAGAACTGAGTAGCTGCAATGGAAACCATATGTCCTACAAAGCTAAAAATATTTACTATCCGGAACTTTACAGAAAATGTTTGCCAATACTTTCCTTTAGGACATGGATGCTGGAACCTATCTCCGCTTAAATTCTAAAACTGTCACTTAACTGTGTGATCTTGAACAAATTACTTAACCACTCTGTACCTCAGTTTTCTCATCTGTAAAATGGGGTTAATAATGACACCTACCTTATACGGTCATTGTGAGTTGTAAATTAATTATACATACAAAGCATGTAAAACAGTACCTGGCATACAATAAGCCTTTACTAAGTATTCATGATACCTACCATTCCTTCCTGCTGAGAGCTGCAGGATGTGTTTTCCAACAGAAATGCAAAGTGGTTAGACTTCAAACTAACCCCCAAATCTATTATCATGGTAGAACTGAAGTATTATAAGAAGAAACAAGAGAAAAATGAAGAAAAATAGGAAAAAGAAAAGAGGATTAAGGAGGGAAGAGAAAGGAAAAGTTACAAACACCCCACTCAGCAGAAATAGTAGGTGGCCTATTTAAAGAGAAGTATAAATTAGGATAATTTCATCTATAGTAACAGATTAAATAACTTCTGTGGGCTGACTGGGTACTCATCACCATGTGGAAGCTATCTCTATGGAGGGAAAGAGCATTCTAAAATTCCAAGCAAGTGACTTACAAATGAACTGCTGGTCAAGCCCATTTTTAAGTTAGGAACTTCCTGTATTTTACATTCCTAAACAAATGACAAGTGATAGTTGCAGTAAATTCTGTATCTTAGCATCCATACAGAATAGCTAATTAAGAGGAGACAATTTGCGTAAGGACCCAGTACAGCTGAAGGGCTCCTTCTAATACAACTCAGAGGAGGACAGGGGTAATCTTTCTGATCCATAAGTTCTCATTTTGTTCAGAATAGCACCTACTTCCTAACACTAAGGAAAAAAACTCATGTACCCATAAATAGAAAACAAGCTCATTCACCAAAAATGGGCCCGCATGGCAACTGGAAGATAAACATGGTGTTAACAGAAGATACACTTAACCTGCTACTGAGGTTGAGAAATTATCTCTTTCCATGGACTCGCTTTCATTTGAATACCTTCTTTGTGCAAAGCTGAGTTCCTATCTTTTCCATGTATCTTTTAAAAATCACATTCACTGTTTCTCTCTTTAAAATTATTTCAAAACTCTAAAGCACATCCCCCGCAAAAAAAAACAAAGAATTTTTAAACTCACAACTTCATTACTATCTTCATCATTCCCTCCCAAACTTGATCCCTATAACCCTCACTATTGCTATGGTTTATACTTACAGTAAATTTTCCATGCAGAGGCTAAACGCAAATATCAAATATTTTTAAGAGACTTGATATGTAAACCTAACATGTAAAACCTTAAGGAAAAGAAACACATTATTATCCAAATGATTTCTGCAAATTGTGCAGGAAAAGGGGAATGACTTAAAGCGATGCATCCAAGAAAGCAATTAAGATGCCCCTTAACCAGAGGCAAGTTCAAAACACTCACTGAGGATGTATCTGCTGGGAGAGTCCAACCGAAGGCTTCGGCTTGAGGGTCAAGGTCATCTGGGCCACAGGACTGACTCTTGGTAGAGTGTCTGCCTTCTTAGATGAAGTGTGCTTTGCTGCTTGCTCAGGAGGGACCCAGGAGGAGGCAGCCCCAGGATTCTGCCCTACAAAGACTGGCGACGAGGTATCCTGGGCAGCTGTTGTCTCACAGGCTTTGCCCTTGGTGCCCGGTTTACACACACAGAGTTGAGGCCGGAGACACATCCCTCCATTCTGGCACGGTGGAACACAGCTTGCTGCAGAGACAACAGAAGACACAGCTTTGAAGAAAAGCATTGTAGACTTTCTAATTCTTCCAAAGGGTTAACGGTAGCATCAGATTATTCTCCAATAAAATAAAACCACACTTAAAACACTCATCACGATGATGATAATGGTGGCGAATATTTATTAATGGCTTCCTATGTGACAGACATTATTCTAATGTATATCAACAAATTTAATCCCCTAGCAACCATTTTAATAGATATTTTATTTTGCCCATTTTATAGACGAGAAAACAGACACAGAGGTTAAGTAATTTGCCAAAGGTCACACAATTATTAGAATTGAAGAGCTGGGATTTGAGCTAGCTCCAAAGCCACCATTCTTTACCTCTTTACTATAGTAACCTCCCTGAAATGCATCAGAAAACAGGAAAAATCTTAAGAAAATGCTCTGTATTATTTTTAAGATGTGTTCCATGGCTTAAGTTTAAATTTAAGTTAATTTTAAATCTGTAAGCTTAAATATTTTGCTACAACTTGGCAAATAACAAAAGCCCAATCCCTAAAAGCGTTCTACTGCAGACTTCACCTTGTATAGGCTGTCAGAGCATGGAGACACTGTTTTAGAAATTTAGTCCAATCCATGCCTTGACATATGAAAAAACCAAGGGCAGAAAGGTTGAGAGTCATCTAATATACACCTGCTAGTTGGTACAAACTCCAGTGCACTGTACACCATCCCTAATCTTATAATGAAAGGCACCCAAAAAGAAACGACTTCAACTCCTATTTGCTAGGATGTCTATAATTTGCATCACCACACTTCTGACCAAGCAGAGTTTTAGACTTAGCAGGGCTGGGGGCCAGGGCTAAGGTAAGTGGATTTTATGATAGGCAAGGTCTCTTGGGAGTTTAGATGTTACTGACTTAAGTTTTATCAGGTTTTATCATAGGCCTATGGGCATATTCCCTCAGTCCCTTCTTTATTTGTTCAAATATATTTATCATGCTGCCCCTTTGCTATCAGTCCACCTTGGACTTAAACGCTTGTCCTGGGGCAGATCACATTGCCACATCTCCCACAAAATTCAATGCAAGATTCAGTCCACAAAACAATTACAAAATGAAGCTCAGGAGACTTAGTTATTAAGAGCCAAATGACCAAGACCTAACAGCTCTGAAACATACTGATTTTCTATAAAAGAGATAAGATACTTCTCCCATCTTTCTACGATATTATTCCTACCGGCTATAGCAAATGATTTAAAAAATGGCCCTTGAGTATTAGAATACCAGGTTGGCAAAATTTTCAAAAAGTTGGGAAGGATGAAAGAAAGAAAGAAAGAAAATTGAGCCAGCTCCCTAGGTGACCTTGTAGTCACTTAACCTTGGCCTCTGCACCTGTGTGTGTTTGGGGTCAGGAGAAGAGCAGCAGCTACTTGTCTTAAAATGGTCCCCAAGGGCTGTTCCCATATTTTGCTTCTCGAATTCAAATTCAATAGCTATATGCTTCTGGAATTCGTGATTCTAATTTATCAGAGTCTTTCTGACTGACTGAGCAAACTTTGGACGTGAGATACCTTGCTCAGCCACGGTTATTTATGGAATGTCACAGGAATGGGAATGGGCTCCACCCAAGAGAACAGAAGCACAGCAAGGGCTGGACTGGGCTCTCAAAGCTGTGCCTCTGCCAGAGATCACCCCCCAGGCACTTTCATGTATACATTCTCTTCATGCTTTCAATTAGAAACATGTTGCAGTTTAACATCTGAGAATGATTTCCGCTTCTCCTCCCTCCTAAGGTGTACCGCAAATGTCTTCTCATCCACAGGAAGGCTGCGCTGAGCAGCTTGCAAAAGCTGGCACCTATGCGGAGGCCAAAGACTGATGTCCAACATACCACTGAGAACATGCCACAGGGACCTGTCTAATCCATCCATGGATGGTCTGGAAACGTAAACGGGTAGCAATTATATTTAACTCTTAAAATTTTGCATGTGGTAGGTGGGCAGGGGAGGCAGAGAATAACAAAAGGAAAAAAATACTTTGAACTCACAAATTTTTTACTGGAAGAAAAAGAACAAGTTATATAATAGTATGGCCAATATATTATACAAATAAATTTAAATTTTAAAAGGACAGTAAGGAGAATCAGAAGACAATTTTCTCTTCTACCTACCCTATCCAGGCTCAGGCAGGAGCCCCTGGAGCATACAGATGAAGAGAGATTGGCTTGAAGTGGGGCAGGGGACAGATTCCCTAAATGCCAAGACAAGCCCTTCATGTGACATGAAAAAGCAAAACTCATGTCCTTGGATCACATTTTTATCAAGCCATTTTTCCTGTAATATTTGGACCCCATGCAGTTAGTAATGGTTCTCAAAGCATGGTACCCAGACCAACAACAGCAGTGTCACCTGGAAACACCCTAGAAATACACATTCCTGGGCTGCCCCGGGCCTGCTAAATCTGAAACTGGAACCCAGCAAAGTGTGACTGCCCTCCAGGTGATTCTGATGCACCCTCAAGTTTGAGAACCACTGACAGCATTTGGAAATTGACAGTCTTCCACCCATAAGTTTTTGAGGATTTATATTTTTATATACGCAATGTTCACATAATTGCTTTTATTTTGCTGAATTCTTGGCCATGAAAAAAGTATTTGTCTTATCTTGCCCTTATATTTTTAATGCAAAAGAGGGTGCGTTTTCCATGTCTATGCATTTCCGAAACCATACTTGTCACCATCTACCCCATGGCCAATGCAAAAAATTTGTCGGCATTTATGAGAAAACTATTATAACTGAGGTGTTGGACTGCGTGGAATATTAAAAACAAAGTCACAGACATACTGTCAAAATGGGCTTTTTTCCACCAGTTGGTTCGGCATTTGCCGGCCAGGCACTGGGCTGGGGTTCAACACAACCAGCAGAGGCCACATCGCGATCTTATCAGTGGGTTGGGCAGTAGTTCTCAGGCTTGGCTGCACATTAGCATCACCCAGGGAGCTTTTAAAACTCCTGAAACCCAGGCCGAACTCCAGACGGATTAAATTAGGATCTCTGGGGGAGGGCCCCAGGCTGCAGTAGTTTAACTCCCCAGGTGATTGCAATGCGCAGCCAAGTCTGAGAAGCAGTAAGTTAGGGAACAAAATCCTAATCCAGACTTGCTGACAAACTAGTCTTCCTAAAATGCTGCTTTTGAATCATTTTTTTTTCTCCTTCATTCAAAAACTTTCAACACATTTTAGCTGCCCATGGGAAAATTTCAAGACCATCTACATCTGGCCCAAACCCCCCTTCCCACCCTTGTTTCCCACTGGTCCATCCCTGCAGAAGCTCACCAGTCCTCTGGGAGTCCCACCTCCTTGCCTCTGCACACAGGGTGCCCCGTCCAGAAACACAGGCCCCACAACCCATCAACCGCATCGGCAACCCCTGTCGTTCGAGTTCGAGTTCTTCCTTCTTGGTGAAGTCTCTCCCACGTGCCTGCCCGCCCTACCGTGATCTTTGTGCCACCCGGCTCCCTTCCCACTTTAATCATCCACTTCACATTTCACACGTGCTGTCATGTATTATTAGGCTCACATATTATTAGTCATCTGTTTACAGAGTTATCTCCTAATTGCCAACTAGATTATAAAATGGGAGGTTGGTTAAGGAGCTTATGCAGAACTTTCTGTACCCTGGGTCAGGAGTTTGCACTTCATCTTGGTTGACTGGCTGACATAAATGTTTAGAGCCACTACTTTCCAAAGGATGCTGGGATTTAAGGACATCTACGAAGGAAAGACAGTCAATTGGCTCTTAATCCATTGCTTGATAATGGCTACACCTCCAGACTTGGTTTGCAAGTTATTCCACCAAACAGCAGATGTTTCTCCATCAAAATTAATGTTCAAATATACTCTGCAAATTCACAAGGTCTGTAGTAACACTTAACAGGATGTTACAGTTACTCATAGAAACAGTTTCTGAAGCCAGATCCAATATGTTCTAGAAGAACTCTGAACGGTAGTGACAGTGAAACAGACTAGTCAAGGACAAAGAGAAAACATCACAATGGGCTGGTGGGAGCTGTGATGAGTTACTGAACTTCCCATACAAACGTACATTAAGGGGGTTGAGCCTAAGAAGTTCAGGTGCAGCAGGAAAAAAAAAAGAGCTTCTGGGAAATATCCAGTTTGTGGAAAGGATCTAGAAAGGAAGGATCTAGGAAAAAATCTAACAATTGATAAAATAGACAATCCTATAAATGAACTCCTGCTCAAAAAAGCATAGTGAATTAGCCCTCTACCCTCCTCCATTCCAAACACAATGATTAAAAAAAAGTTTACGTTAAAATGATAATTTCTTCTGCTGGTCATGAAGGAATAACTGTGACCAAACAAGCGTCCTTGCCATAAATAACTGGAGGGCTGGATGTAAGAAATAAATCTGTTTTTGGACACTGGAACACTGGCAGCACAAGACTGTGCTTCCCAAGAGAAGGGAATCAAATGAGGCGAGCCCTGCAATCCCTAAACCTTCTGCAGAAAGCACTCTGTGGACCACGGCACAGGGAGGAAAACAAGCAGAGCCTGAGTGGTTTTGCCCAGCTGGGGAGACAGAGACCTGCCTCAGGAGGCTGGAGCAGCTGGAATCTGCAGGGCAGAGAACTAGAGAGAAGAGACCTGCACACAGAGACAACTCAGAAATCTGCACAGGGGTCCCCATGAATCTTTGCCCGATACTAATCTGCACAGGCCTAGGGTGAGGCCAGACAAAAGACAACTACCTGTAAGGTGCAAATTCCCAGCGCTCTCCTAGGATGCTGTTCCAGTTCTGAGCTGCTAGAATCAGAATATTCAGTAGAGACTCCAGAATTAAACTGCTTTGGAAAGGATAGTATAACCTCGATATCAAAATCAGACAGGAACGTACCCAAAAGAAACAAATTACAGTTATGAATATAGATGCAAAATACCAAAATATTAATAAATCAAATACATCCATATTTCAAAAACAAAAAAGTAGAATTAATTCCATAAA